TTAACAACAAACTGTCCCAAGCCACACAAAATGGAAAAGTTTCATCATAAGAGTGAGGGTGACTACTATTTTTTAGTCAAACATTCGAGAATACGAAATATTGGTCAAATCTCTAATAAAACTATAAAATTATAGTTACTTTCCATTAAAGTTAATGTTAGTTTTAACATAATTTCACATGAGCTAATCGTAAGTCCACATATTTGAATGAAAATGACTATAATTTTGTATTTCTCAAAGGTTTGACTAATGTTTTAGAATTTATGAAAGATTGGCTAAAAATAGTTTTTACCCTCGGATTTATTCTATTTACAAAACTATCTTAGTATTTTTTTTATTTCATATTAAGAAATATTTACATAAGCTTAAATTACTATTCCTTACTAAAAAGATAAGGGCGCATCAAATTTGCTTCCTTTTTTTAGGGTATTGTTCACCTATATTTTTTTATACGCTACACCTAATTTCAGCATAACTCTTTTTCCCATATGTAGTTGTATATGCAATTATTTGTTTTCTATCTCCTACACTCAATTTTATCATAACATTTTTTTATTCCTTTGACAACAATTACGTAAATTACAAATACCATAGGTAATCTTACAGAGAAACAGTTACTTCTAATGTATCAATTCTAGAAAACATATAATATAGGCAAAATACACTTGCATAGCCAAAACTTTCACGTTTGCGCCAATAATAGCCAAATTTGGCGAAATACCACTTATAGCCAAGTCCATACAATTCTGTAACGCTGTTAACGTTAAATGTGACTGGGCAAACGGAGCAGCTTATGTGGACCGCATGAGATTTCCACGTGGACAATAATTAAAAAAAAAAATCAGAGCCACTCATTTTTACTCACCCACCTTTTGTTCTCTCTTTCCTCATTCCTTATCGTCTTCATCGAACCCGCCCTGATTGCCATCGACGAAGGCGAAGGCGACCACGAAGGCGACGATCTTCCTCCGACGAACCCCGTACCCACCGCTATTCCTTCCTTCATTGATCGAGCTCAACCTACCGCCTCCTTCCTCGAGAAACACATACAGAGGATGGGTTGACATCGAGCCCTTCTTCTCCAATTTGAAACCTTTTATATTTCTTCCCTGAGTTCCGCCGCACCCATGCATTGCCCCACACCCATTCGCTCTGCAGTCTGCACCATCCATTCCCCAACACCTATCCATTCGCCTGTCGCTCCGTCCATCTCTTCGATTGCTCCAGTCGATTTGTCGGGAGTCAACGAGATTGAATCAAAGCAATCCCTAAAATTACCCATTTTCGCAGGGCCGAAATTGATTGGCTTCGCCTGCAAGCCGAACTCCAACTCGACTACCGACGATTTCTTCTTCACTGGAATCACCAACTCGGGTCGTCAACAACTTCGTCGGGTCCCTCGTCACCGCCGCCAACGTCGAGAAGGTCCTCGGCCGTCGACATCGAGTGACGTACATGGAATGGCAGGGCAGAGAGTATCAAGCGAAGGGGAAAGACATTAGCAGCGGGAGGCGACTAGAGTGAGTGAATCCGAATTTTTTGAAGGGAATGATTGGGTGGGCGTCGGATCGAACCTCCGAGAAGCGAATCTCGGCAGAGGATATGGAGAAGAGGAGGGTGAGGAGGAGAGGGAAGATAAGGAATCAAACTATTGATCTAGAGAGAGATTTAGAGAGCTCAGAGGAGGAGTAATCGGACCTCCCAAGAGATCTGGTGGTTCGCACAATGGTGATGAAGAGTGTTGGTCCACGGCGTCGGCTGGAGAACAGGGGAAGAAGAAGCACAGCAGGGAGTTAAATTCTCAATGGCTTTATTCTATTAATATATTTTTAATAGGTTTTATTAATTTATGATGTGTAATTATTAAATAATATTAAATTATTGACGTGTCACTTTTTCTTATTTTGTGCTGACGTGTAAGATGATTAGTTGGCGCTTAGTCAGCGAACCGTCAAAGAAGTTCATGGTGTCACTAACACCGTTAAAGTATCTAACGGAAATGGCTAAATTTGTCAACGACAAGTTTAAAAGCTAGATATCAGTGGTATTTTGCCAAATTTGGCTATTATTGGCACAAACGTGAAAGTTTTGGCTATACAAGTGTATTTTGCCAATAATATAAGACTTTGCAAGGACTAAGACAATTAGACAACACAAAAACTTTTATTGAGGGAAATGTATCAATTAACAAACATATTACTTAAGTTTTTCCTGATATAAGTTTGAATTTTTTTTTCTAAATTGACTAAAATGACTATTTCTTCAATTTGCATTACAAAAGAATTTTGTAAGGAAAGTTACTATTCACATAATAGTTTAATCAAATGTAATACTTTTTATAACTTAGTTCACTTATTAATAACATAAATTTATTTATTAGTACCATATATATTCAACGTCTTATCAATTTGCATCATGCATATTAAAACTTATGGAAAATAATTTAATCTTATACATTATATAGTTTAATCTAACTTGAATTTATTACGAGACTACACATTAAGGAAGATTACGCAACCTTATTCTATCACAATTATTAATCAAACAAATGTGTTATGTAAGTCTTTTATCATAATTAAGACACCACATAAAGCGTTTGGAAGTGTCTGTCGTGTACGCGAAATTCTCGCATCGTGGATCTAGAACTCTTCTACAATAAACTAAGGCAACGCGAAAAAACTACAACTATTTTCTACTAAATTACTTTACTCTTATTCATTCATTAAAACTATAGAACAACGTACACATTTACAGGACTACTCTCACAAACCTTTTCCCTCAAACAAGGTAAACTAATCCCAACCCAGGAAGTAAACAATAACTTTCTCAGCAAGATACAATAAACTATTACGAATTTCCTAAATAACCATATTAATCTAACAATTAACTAATAATAAGTTTCTAATTACTAAGCCCAGAATCGACCACCCTGTCCAACGGGTGCTATAATACACCAAATCTCCCCCATTTGAAGAACTTCGTCCGCGAAGTTCATGCGTTATCTCAATCCGGATCGATGTAGAAGAAGTTTCACCATTGATTATTGATGACAATGAGCGGACGCTGGTGCAGCCTGCGCTTGCGATATTTTCAATTGCGCTCAACCAATTGCAAAAAGCTCTTATCACCGAGGCAGCGGTGGGTGTAGTGGCGGCAGAAAGCTCGGGTAGCCAAGGGCTCGACGAGGAACTCGTAGTTTGTGCCCATAGCGGCGGCGGCCTGTAATACCCTTGATGTTGCATGAGAATCGACATAGCGACTTCAGTGCCAACTTGACACTGATACCAATTGGCGTGTGCTCGGAATTCACGCGTTGTGGATCTAGAACTCTTCTACGATAAACTAAGGAAACGCGATAAAACTACAACTTTTTTCTACCAAATAACTTTACTCTTCTTCATTCATTAAAACTATAGAACAACTTACATATTTATAGAACTACTCTCACGAACCCTTTCCCTGGTAACCTAATCCCAATCCAAGAATAAAAGGTTGGAGCTCTCTGTCGAAGAAGAGATTGGGTCTCAATTTTTATTTATATTAATTTAATTGTAATAATTTTAAATTAGAAAATATGTGTAAATTACGAATATTTTAATGATTTTTATGATGACCGGATGGTGACATAGCATGTATTGTTAGTAACAGCGTTTGACCGTCCAAGATAACAGTCAAACATCGGGTTTGGCCAATGTCGTTACTTTTATGTATAGTTTGGGCCAGGATATTACAAATCGAAAAGATTGGGTAGAATGTTTATTATGGTCAAATTGCAGTCCATACAAATATATTAACCCTTTATTTTTATTTGTGTTTTGAAGTTGCCTCTAAGATAGGTAGAATTTATGTCAAATTGTATTTTACTTAACAACTATGAGCATTATCATATACTAGTTTGTTGTCCGCGCTTCACTGCGGCAAGATATTAATTAATTTATAAAGCTATATTTACTTATTTAAAGATGTAGTTGGAATTAAATAATTAAAAAATAGTTTAGGTAAGATACACATTTGATTTAAGTGTTAACTTCCCATACAAACCTTATGCGTAATACAAAATTATGAGAGGATAAATGTTATAGATAATAATAAAGAAATTTTGGGTAATAATAAAATAATTAAGTTATCAAAATTATAACATTTTATTAAAATTTTATGTAAACATTAATCGACCTTAGATAATCTTTGTGTAATGCACATAGATGAGATTATCAACAATTTAATTAATAATAAAGAAATTTACGTTCAAACTTATATTGTAAAAGAATTATGTAATATGTTTGTTCAACTGATATATAAGGAATGACTATCTATCCAATATCCATAACCATATGCTTTGTCTAGTGTATTAATCATTACTGAAACTTATAGGTCTCAAAAACAAGCATGGAAACAACAGTCAATCAGAAAGATAAGTTGAAGTTGCGTAAACTAGCTCACTCTACTTAAAGGTTTTATAGGTACTTATTCAAGTATGGGAGGGAAGATGACTCTACAAACGAAGACAGAGAGGGGATACTCCAGTGAAGGGGAAAGACGTTAAGTTGCCAGTTATGCTTGAAGGAATAGGGACCGCTGACGCTCTCCTGCGGGATACGTTTGACTTGTGTAATCTTTATTTGTCGTAATGTAAAATTGACGCAGAGTCGGGAAGAGCGTACACATAGAAACATATATAGTGTTGAACGAAAAGCTGTGAAGAAGTATAGGACATGCATAATAGAGAATGAAAAAATGGACATCAACCTAGAGTCCAAAGTTAATTAAAGTAGTTTATTTCAAGCTTGTCATCAAGTGTGAACTCAACTCTAATTATATATGAAGCTAATATTTTGGCCAATGCGACTCATCAACGCCTGTGCGGCCTCTTGTCACTTATTAGGCTAAAAATAATTTTTTGTTAGCAATTTTGTTAATAATGTTGACATGACAATATGATTATACCACCTTTTAACAACACAATATTAATATAAAGGCAATCAATGTTCCAACATAAATAATGAATATATTAAGACTTTGAGTCGTTCAAACGTTTAGGTTCCTTTATCTCTCTCTCTATAAGGACACCCTCTCCTCCTTCTAATGACACAAATTAACAAACCGTGCTTAGCAAATAGCCTTTACTAGACAAGCTCTCTTTTCCTCACCCTCTTTTCATTCTCCAAATCAAACCCATGGGAAACTACGTTGAGGATTGCGATTATGATCATCATCTCACCGTGAAGAAATGGGAGCCCGTTTTGGTCACACCGGTCGAAGAGACGAATAAAGGCATCTACTTCCTCTCCAACGTCGACGAGGACGAAACCCTCGTCCGTACCATTTACTGTTATCAGCATAAGAAAACTAACGATGATCACGGTCCTTCGGAGGTGATCAAGAATGCTTTGAGCAAGGTTCTTGTCCACTACTACCCTCTCGCCGGCCGGCTGGTGACCACCGCCGACGAGGGGAGGCTCGCCGTGGATTGCACCGGCGAGGGCGTGTTGTGCGTGGAGGCGGAAGCGAATTGCACGTTGGGGAGCGTTGACTTCTCCAGGCCTGACGCGGAAACACGTGGCAAGTTGGTGTATGAGATTCCTGGTGTGAAGAGCATATTTCAAATCCCTCCTCTCATGATCCAGGTATGCCATTAATATATCATGCATATGCATGTTACCCAAACAATATAATATAAAATGGTATCAAAATTATAAGCATTTCCGGTGTTTGTTGTATTTGTAAATTGATGTTATTTGGTTGACCTATTTGTATCACGCTAACAACAAATGAATTTCCTTTAGGTGACCAAGTTCAAATGTGGTGGATTCGTGCTGGGAGTTTCGTTCAACCATCTTACCGCAGATGGACAGGCGGCCATGGAATTCATCAACTCATGGGCCGAAACAGCTCGAGGATTGCCGCTCTCTGTTCAGCCTTTTCTCGACAGAACCATCCTCAAAGCTCGAAACCCACTGAGAATCGAGTACCACCATGCCGAGTACGACATGTTAGAAGACAAATCGGCACCACCAAACAGCAAAGAAGTAACCATCTACGACTACATCTACATCAACGAGAAAATGATCCAAAAGTTGAAGCGACAAATCGCAGCTGAAATACACGGGCCTAGTCCTCCTCCAGGTCCCGTAAGACTTTGCAGCTCCTACGTGGCCTTGTCTGCTTTTGCATGGAGAGCTCGAGCCAAGGCCCAGAAGATGGCAGCAGATCAAGAGACCAGAATCCTCCTTGTGGTGAACACGAGAGACAAGTTCACCCCACCATTGCCAAAAGGGTATTTTGGCAATGCGGTCAAGTTCATCAGTGCTGTAAGCTTGGCCGGTGACTTGGTCGACAAGCCACTTTCATATGCGGTCGGAAAAGTTCAAGAGGCGATCAGGAGCGTCACAGACAGTCAGCTGAGATCTGGGATTGATTACTATGAGGTGCACAAGACCAAAAGACCGATGGGTTGTACAATGATCTCGACAGCTTGGTCGCGGTTGGCTTTTGGCTCGACCGATTTTGGCTGGGGCGAGCCGATTATGACTGGACCGGTCGAGTTGCCTGTGGATGAGGTTATCATATTTCTTGCTCATCCCAAGGAGAAAGGCAGCTTGAATGCGTATGCTGGGTTGCCTACGTCTGCTATGAGGAGTTTCCAAAAGTTGTGGCAAGAAATAGTTTAAAAATTGGAGATAGGAATAATGAAACCGTCTCGTTATGAAATCACATGTTGGAGTGAAAAATGATATCTCTCCTTCCTTCTTTTGCTAAGTTTTTTTTTCCTGTCTTTTTTAAATGTGTATGGACTATGGAGTCATGTATTTTGTTGTTCCTCCCAAAAGATTAGCGCTTCAGTTAAATTTTGGGAGTGTCATGTAAAATATATTACAATTGATTGCTTCTTAGATTCGAGTTGTTTGAATTTGAAATTATAATTAAGAAGGTTTGTAAGGTAAATGCTATTTGGCATGAGATTACAATAGCGTCTTTTCAATATGGTGCCGTTTTGTTAGATATTTCTTTGGTTGCATTTTTGTTCAATATTCTAATTGCCCATCATATTTATTTTTTATATGATTTAAAATTCATCAAATGTAAGAAGAGAAGGTAGAAATAGTATCTAATCACAAAAAGTAAATATTATCAAGGAAGCACTGGTGTCTAGCTACGTGCAATTAAATATACATGCCAAATGCCAATGCAAGTTAGCAACTTCACATAATCTTACTGTCCTAAATTTACTATACCTTAACGATAATTGCTTTCATTTAACTTAAGCAGTGTATATAGTTAGTTAAATACGTACGGAACTCTATACATCATTCTAGCATAACAATGTATTTAAAAGCTTGGTTCCAGTTATAGAATATTGGTAATATATAAATTAGAGATGACTAAAATTTTGTAAGGAACAGAAAACCAATTAAGAGCTAACTTGCGCTATTAATAAATTAATTAATAACTTAAGCTCGGTATTTTACCGGAAAAATGAAGCCACTGTAGGTACCAAAACGTTAGCACATAGAAACATATATAGTGTTGAACGAAAAACTGTGAAGAAGTATAATAGAGAATGAAATAATGGACATCAACCTAGAGTACAAAGTTAATTAAAGTAGTTTATTTCAAACTTGTCATGTGTGAACTCAACTATAATTACATATATATGAAGCTAATATTTTGGCCAATGCGACTCATCAACGCCTGTGCGGCCTCTTGTCAGGGGGAAATGAGTGTGACAAACTAGGCATCAATCAATTAATGAAAAAAGAATATATGTATATAATGACAAGCAGCATAATATAATTGATTTGAAGAAGACACTATATATAGAATGCATTTGTGATCCATTAATTCCACTCATCAATCATCTCTCAATCTTGACATACATCATGGAGCCAAAACCAACCATGTCTTTCCCGATCACACTTGCACTAGCTACTTTTTGTTGTATAATTATCTCCGCATTTGTGGATGCGCAGAGCGGTGGATTTAGTATCAATCTGGTCCATCGCGATTCGGAAGGTTCGCCTTTGTATAATCCCAAGGAAACGCCAGCTCGGCGCGTTGGGAATGCGGGTAGGCGATCCATTGGGCGAGTGCATCGTTTCAGTCACATGCTTCACCTTAACAGTTCGAGGTCTATTTCGGACCCTTCGGATCCTGATGCTCAGTTGACGGCCAACAATGGCGAATACCTGGTGAACATCTCCCTTGGTACGCCACCATTTCCGATCGTTGCGATTGCTGACACTGGCAGCGACATTATATGGACACAATGTAAGCCTTGCACCGATTGCTACAAGCAGGATGCGCCCTTATTTGACCCCAAGTCGTCGAGTAGTTATAGAACAGTGTCATGTTCATCCAACGCTTGTAATTCGCTCCAGAGTGAAGGAAGCTCTTGCTCCTCCGACGGCAGTGTTTGCGAGTACCAGGTGAGTTATGGGGACCAATCTCACACCCAAGGAGATGTAGCAGCTGAAACACTGACTTTGGAGTCCAAGACTGGCAACCCTGTGGCCCTTCCGAAAACTGTGATTGGCTGCGGGCATGACAATGCAGGAACATTTAGCCCCAAAGGCTCTGGCATCGTTGGTCTTGGAGGAGGACCTGCATCCCTTGTCAGCCAACTCGGTTCATCCATTGGCGGGAAATTCTCCTACTGCATGGTCCCCTACGCAGCTGCCAAGCCGACCAGTACGATGAACTTTGGCACCAACGCCGTGGTTTCAGGAAATGGTGTCCTTTCCACCCCCTTGATTTCGGATCCATCCCAACCCACATTTTACTTCCTTCAACTTGAAGCCGTTAGCGTTGGGAGCAAAAAGATTGCCTTCCAAGGCTCCTCCATTGGAGGCTCTGGCAACATTATCATTGATTCAGGGACGACTTTGACCCTTGTGCCTACTGATTTCTTCTCCCAGCTCTCTGATGCCGTCGAGACTCAGGTCACCGGCGGCACCAAAACCAGCGACCCCGAAGGCTTTTTCAGCCTCTGCTACGTGCCAGACTCCAGTCTCAAACTTCCTCCCGTCACAGCGCATTTCAAGGGAGCCGATGTCCTGCTCACTTCCGACAACATTTTCATTCAGGTCAACGATAAAGTGGTTTGTTTGGCTTTCTACGCCAACGACCAACTCAGCATCTATGGAAACGTTGCTCAACAAAACTTTCTCATTGGATATGACCTTCCAAAGCAAACTCTATCTTTCAAGCCTACAGATTGCACAAACACCTAAACCCCCCAATTCTCCATTACCACATTCATATGTGTACGTGTTTATCAATAAGTGTGTGTGTGTAAATCAAAACAACGTGATTGTTAATCTATCTACCAGGAATTAATTGTTATATCCGATCCAGACTATTAATAATATATATATATATACATGTGTTTATCAATAACTGTACCTAAATTAAACCAACGTGGATGAACAATTCCTTTCTGTAATAAAATTCTTAATTTCTTTTTCGTTGCGGATCATTTTTTGTTTTTCTTTGTCTGAGTTAGCTTCTTCTTACCAACCATATATTTCAGTTTTTCTTAACCAGAATTATTAACACCACCGATTAAAATTATCCCAACAACTACAAGAGAAAAACGGATTTTTTAAGCCAACCAAATTGGTTGCTAAAAGATCAAAATGCAGACTTACCCTAGCCCACATATGATTGATGACATGGGATAGATTAGGGTTGTTGATTGTATATGTATGGTGTGATAGAGGTTCGGCGGCCTTTGAGTTGAATAAGAACAGAAGAACGCTTTGTGTCGTGGATTAGTCCCGACATTCAAAACGCCAGGGATACCACGTCAATTTGGTGTCGTTTATTTCTGTCGTGAATTGGTGTTTGTTTGTGAATATTCGTGAGGCTTCTCAGTTGGTGATTCCACGAGTGAGGGACGGGGTAGGTGGCTCATAAGGTTAATCCAGATCTTCTTAAGGATGTCTTGCGGCCCTTTACTTTGTTCAGTTTTTCTTGTAATTTTGCTCTTTTGTATGTCTTTCCTTCTCCCCTACATGGGGTGATCACCCAATGTACTAGGAGTTTATATCCTAAAATCGTAATTATAGGGCTATTATGTAATGTATGGATATATTAGGATTTTTATGAATGAATGTGTTTATCTAGTTGATCTCATTGTTTTTAGATGATGATCGAGCCTAAGTAGCCTAGGAAACAGTGACCCTTGGAATACGATCGAGCCAATTTACAAAATTACTAACTTGCTTATACTTGGCCTTGTTAGGATTGACTAGAGAGTGCGCTTCGACCTTTAAATTGAAAGCATGCACCCATTAGAAAACCTCTACCAATCGAATCTTATCATTGTCTTTGATTGGAGTCAAGGAGAATTTTCTGATCGTTAGAAGCGAAACTCACCGTTCCCCCAGTTTGAAAAAATAAACCTAAAAAATGGCTTATAATGTGGGGCTTTCAATTGAAATTTTCCTAGGGATGGCATTGTTTTTAGAGATTTATTCATGTTAGACGATCACTATTAAGCAGCCTATGTATTTTGTATGTATCATTATGTTTAGTGGACTTGAACCATAGTGAGCTAGCCCACGTGAGTCTTGCATGGTAACGCAGACTTACCCTAGCCCACGGGTGCGGATACTATAACAACAGCCTATTTGTTGTTACTGTAACAACAAGGGCAACATAGTAAAATTACAATTAAATTATAAAACAAAAATCAAATCATTATCACACGCGTCTTCTTCCGCCCACCGCTCTTCCGCGTGCGGTGTTTCTCCTCCAATGGAAACCATCCCCCATTCTCCACCTCGAACACCTCCACTCCGTCTATCCCCATCCTCCGTTGGAGCGCAATCCATCATAACAACCGTAGCGGCGGCGGCGAAAAATCAGGTTCCTCTTCTCTCACTTCCTGCTTCGCCGTCGACTAACCGCGAGAAGAGCGCTCCAACTCCAACCTCCTCGACGACTGGACCTACATCGCCCATCTCCTGCCGGAACAAAAAATTCAGATCTCGTTTGTCCTCCTCCGCCTTGCTTTCCCACACCATCTGTGCAGCTTCCTCCTCCGGCAATTTCAACTCTTCCATGTTTATAGGCTGTTTACAGACTCACAGCTGTTCAACAGACTCGTGAAATTCGATCCCTGGAGAAAGAGGTGGTCTACCTTATTCTGCGCGGCCAAAAAAAAAATATGAAAGAAGGGAGTGAATTTGTTAATTTGTTTATTCTTCCCAATCCCGACCCCTCCCTTATCTCTTCCTTCCTTCGTCTGATTTCTTTTTGTTGTTAATTGTTTCTTCGTTGTTAATTGGTAGTGGAAGAGATGGCAATCATCTCTATGCAATGTATCTTGGTGATGTGTCCAAAAACTCATCACCTATTATTCATCCTTAATGCACTAGTAGGTTGTTTCTTAGTATTCCCGTCTTAAAGAGAATTAATGTGCTTGTTGTTTTAGTTAGTAGATATAGGAATATGACTTTGCTACGTATATAGGTATTTTGGTGAATATCCGTATGTAATTGTCATTTCAACGCTAGTACTAGAGCTGAGAGTGGCAATGACCTAAACATTATGAATTTATGTGTTATGAGAAAGCATACTGGAAACCTCTTAATACAAGCCATAAAGACGGTAAAACAAACCACAAAAAACTAACTAGAAACTTCCCAAAGCAGAACACAAATCGCGTAAAACATACCAGAAAACTTACAAAGCAAACCACAAATATTTCTAATGCACACCAGAAACCTTCTAATGCAGACAATAAGTTTGATAAAACAAACAACAAAAAATATACCAGAAACCTCTTAATGCATGCCGCAAATTCTCTAAAACAAACCAGAAATCTCACAAAGCAAACCCTAAATATTTTGAAAAATACACCAGAAACCCTCTAATGCAAACC